GAGAGAGTCAACGAGAGAGAGAAAGCGAGATACAAAACAGTGTTGTCAATATTCGATTATTCAAGCTATTTGAATGTGTTTTTTTTTTCATAAGAATCAATGTTGCGTAGTCTGCCAGTACCGATAAAAGGCCTTTTGAAAATAATTATACTAATATTTAGTGGTGGATTTTTTTTACTTATTTCAGTTAAATTTAAATAAGTAAAAAAATTATATTTAAAATATAAAAGAGACAATTTGCTACAAAAAGCTGGAGAATTGTTTAAAAAGAAGGAAGACCAGCTGCTTCTCAAGTTTACTGTCAAAATGTGTTAATTGTGAATTGTTTGTTTCACATTATGGAAACGTAAACGAAGTCAAAATTTTTATATTTAAATTGAGAATCTACAGATGTTTTTCGCATTCTGGGTGACGTGTACGCATACATTTCACAGTTATTGGTTTTGAAGGACTTTTGCTAATTGGGAACATCTAATACACTATTGATTTTGACCACCTGCACGTCTATAAAAAACCAAAACTCGCAATATTGAAGATAGAAATTCTGAACTTATAGTAATGTTACTTCTGGGATGTTTGGTATTGAAAATAAGATATATCGGACAATTGTTTACGGTTGCTGCCATTTAGCAGTAACCAAAATTCTGTACATTAAGTCTTTTCTTTATTTTTAATTAGGTATTTCCCAGCACTCGGCATTATAGACTCCATAAAGTACGGCATTTACATAAAATCGGTCGAAAATGTGTATGGGAGCTATATCTAAATCTGAACCGATTTTCACAAAACTTAGCACGCAGCATTCTAGACTCATTTTACGCTATGCCAAACTTCGTGCAAATCAAAAGCAATATAGTGGCTTTAATGCATGATTTACATAAAAATCGGACGAAAATATATGTGGTATCTAAATCTGAACCGATTTCAACAAAACTCAACACACGTCACCATCAACTCAAAGCCTTTAAAAACCAAAAATATATATTGTTTTCCAAAAAATAAATTCGGCCCTATACTGCTGTTAAACTTTGAAAACAAACAAAAAATCCAGCCATACTCCATTTTTATAAATTTTATAACGTTTGCTTCTCCTGTAAAATTAGTAAAATGTAGTTACGTCCGTAGAACCTTTTTGGCCACCTAATTGACCACAATGCGTTTTATTAACCCCAAACGAATTTATCGAATGACATTTTTTATTATATTTATTGAAATTAGCAATAAACACTCAAGAGTAATTAATCTTTGCAGAAAATATAAACTATGATACCTATAATAACGGTATATTTTTTAAATTCGTCAGTGTTGCATATGTTTTGACCCAGGGTAATATCGAGATATCCATTTTACCAATAAATTTTGCAGCAAAGTACCAAAAAAAATCTGGGAAAATAACAGATTTACAATAACAGTTTCTATTGAAACTAAAATGTTGACAAAATACCAAGTTGGCCTATTTCTAGATGGTTAATTTCAGTTGCATATTTTTTAACACCACTGACTTGTGTATCTGCCAATTTTGACAGCACACATGTAAATAACATTTTGTATAAAAACACCTTTATCATGAAAATGTTCTGTGAATAAGTTCAACTTCCAGTAATGATAAGATGTAGTCACTTGTGCTTACGATCACAAAAACACCTATACAGGGCCTAAGACGACTGAACTATATTTTTAATTTTATGTAAACAGATTTACCAAACATTGGTTGCATCCAAAATTAATTCGACTATTTTATGCCGAAAAAAATCCTTTGAAACCCTTTTCAATAAATCGTTTTTTTTTTAACTGTTATCAGTATCTTATTTAAATGGAATATAGTCGCAATATTTCTTAATCATTGACAACACTGACGACCAGTCAAATGTCACTCATAATATGATGAGGGCTATCTCTTTCATAGCGTGCGTTGAGACAACTTATTGCTGTTTGTTTTTCCTCTCATTTTTGTATTTATTCATCTCTTAGTGAGTCGGTAAAACTTCGTTTTTATTCGTTTGTATTGTATATACTGCAGCAACATGTGCACGAACGACCACACGTGCTGCAAGATACGATAATTCAATTATAACGAAAAAAAAAAATTGTGTACATACATATTTACTTTTATATTGTTGTCTGTTTGTTTATTTTCATATAAAATTGATTTTGTATGAATTTAACTCATGTAGCTGATAAAACTTACACAAATACAAGGGTTTTTACCAATCACAATTAAGAAATACTCTTTGTCTGGATTTGCCCCCAAGACAATTTGAATTGTCGCTGTCAGTTCAGTTGGGTTTGTTTGTTGATGAGAAGGATGTCAATGCAACTCACGTATCTTTTCTCTTTCACCTACAAAATGAGAATTATTGCAAGATAAAATTGTCTAATATTACACAGATTAACCACCATTTAGAAAAACTACTACAGGATTTTTTACTTCCGTACGTTTTTTTTTTTCGTAATTTACCAATAATTACACTCTGCTGTATGAGTAATACCAATGTCATCACTCAAAGGCATTTTTTATATGCACCAACAAATAACCGGTCGTGACTTTCACAGGGAAAATGAAATGAAAACTTACATGACATGACTGTGTGCGTTTGCAATCGTTCTCCGTTGTTTAAAGTAAAACGTCATTGATTTTTTTTTTAATAGATAGAGAGAATGAGGGAAAAGGTTTATGATATTTTCATTCTCCACAGCCAAGACGGAAACCTTTTCCAAAATATGAGGTCTTGTTCAAAAAGTTTAATAAATCTTTAAACTATACAATTGCCAGAAAAAGTATTCATTTGTACACATTCAACATAAAATTTCAAACACAAAAAATATATTACCTTTTATTATGGTCCGTGTGACGAATTTTTAAATTTTCGACTGTCAAAAAGATGTAAACGTCGAAAACGTCATATACCTGTATAAAATGTAATAAATGTAGTAAACGTCATTTATTTGAATTATATCACCATATACAGTTATTTTCATTAATATGTATTATTTTTACATATATCTAACTATTCGTTACTAGAACTGATAAAAAGTTCCAAACTTTTTGGAGAAGAACATTTAGAAATTTGATAGGGTTTGGAGAAAAGCATACGTAATTTCCAAAGTGATTAATAGAAATGGCTATTTTGTCAAAACCCAAAAAGGGTTTTGGGTTGGTTTCCGACGTTTCTGTCGTATGTATTATACGTCGGAAATGTATGTCATGAATTTTCTCGTGAGCAAAGTACAGGTCGCATTTATGATCCGATTTGGATGAAAGTTGGCACAGGTCACTTATTTGACCCACGGATGAACCCTACTGAAATTGGAGAAAATCGATTCCCATATAATAACAAAGTCCCTATATATCGTTTGATATGCAATTTTGCATACAATTACACAAAATTTGGCATGGCGTACCAAATTAAGTCTAGAATGATGTGTGCAAAGTTTCGAGAAAATCGGTTAAGATTTAGATGTAGCTCCCATATATATTTTTCTCCGATTTTAGGTTATTGGAGCATCAAATTCCCTATATATCTTGCGATTTGCACGAAATATGGGGAAGCGTACTGAATTGAGTCTAGGATGATGTGTGCTAATTTTCGTGAAAATCGTTTCAGATATCGATATAGCTCCCGTATATATTTTCGTCCGATTTTATGTAAATGGTGTATTTGCGATTGCGATTTGCACGAAATTTGGCATAGCGTACTAAATTGAGTCTAGAATGATGTGTGAAGTTTCGTGAAAATCGATTCAAATTTAGCCCCCACATACATCTTCGTCCGATTTTATGTAAATAGTGCTCTAAAGACCTAAAAGTTTGTCCGATTGGCACATAATTTTGTACAATTTACTGAAATTCAATTAAAATAAACTCTGATAAGTTTTATTGAAATCGGTGTGTATTCATTGATGTTAGTCGGTACACTTATAGACAAAGATTACATATTTAAGTTCGTTCCTTGTTATAAGTATATCCTGTATATTGTCAATTTCTTAAATGTTGTCTACGGACTTTGGAATTGTTAAATACAATAAATAAATAAAACATTGTCATTACATCGGTTCGATTTTGCTATATCAAAAGCAACCTTTTAATAGCTTGTGATATATCAGGGTCATAATCCTGTAGGAACCAATAGTCTTGTCCTAGGTTCAGCTGCTATGCACTCTGCTTCAAATTGTCCTTTAATATTAAATATTTAATTAAACATTCTGGATTCTATAAAGGTCAAATTTCCCACGCTTTTAGCTGACATGTTCCTCTATATCATAATTCCACCTACCTGTTTAACCCTTGAAACAAGATTTTCTTTAATTAGCACAGTTCCACTTTTTCGTCAAACTAAGTTTTTTTCATTTAATACCAAAAAATGCATAACTTGACATTTTCTCAGAATTCCGGGACCTTTAGTATAGAAAACACATTACGATTTGCATTTAGCATATCAAATTGGATAACACAATAGCTTCATATGGAATTTTTAAAAAGTTGACACTTCGACCATGAACTAGTTTTGTTAAAAATGTTGCGATGGGTAAAGTTTTGGATAAATTTGAATATTGGAAATGACTCAATAATATTAAAGTAATTTTGGATGATGTTATATATTTATTATTAAATTGAAAGTTACAATATAATAATATAAAAAATACATCCTATATTAAATGCAACATGTTCTCTGTGGCATCAATGGGAAGTTCTAAGCGATGTCATCGTTCAACATGTAACATTTAACCACCCTTAAAATAATAATATTTCTGTTATGTATAGTAATTTTGGATGATAATAAATAATTGTTATTAAATTGAATGTTATATTTTAATAATAATAAAAAAATGTCGTCCTATATTAAATGCAACATGTTCTCTGTGGCATCAATGTGAAGTTAAAATTGATGCCATCGTTCAACATGTAACACTTAGCTCGATTTATAAATTAAAATTGTGTGTAAAAATATTATTATTATTATTTAATATTAATAGATTTGAATATTTTTGTCTTTTTTCAGGAAATCAAATGCTATGGAATGGTACATGGGAACGAGGTCTCACCTATGAATGCCGTTCATTACTTTTTAAGGCTCTACACAATCTTATGGAAAGGTATTGTTTGCTTGCTTTGCTTCTTTCTCACCATAATATTTACTTCGTAATGCATTTGCAATAATAATAAATATTTTATACTTTTGTTTCAGATTTGTGTTAACCAAGGATATTGTACGATTCGGAAAGTGGTTTGTTCAGCCTTGTACTTCAAATGAACGAATATTTTGTAGAAGGTATGTATTGAAAAGTAAATAAATAAAAAACTGTTTATTATACTCGTTATCAATATGTAGAGTGGCCGCGGCACGGGGCCATTCCGAACCTGGGTAATATTTCACGATATTTGCAATCTCTTGGCCGATTAGAGGTTAACAGCGGCCCTGCTTCATCTTTTCCGAATCAATTTTTCCAGTTGTAAAAAATTACCCCTGGAAGTCTTCTAATTTTGTTATTTTACACAAAAAGTGTTGGATCCTCTAAATATTGACCATTCATTATCGTGACTGATATTCAAATCAGACCGTTTTCGCCATGGAAAATTTGAAATGTTCGGCTTGTAATTGTGGCGTCTAGATCATCAGACAAAAATAAAGTTTTCGGCCCATTTCATTCCAAAATATCATCTGATCATCATCGAAAATTATAGGCGTCGTCCTTAGCAAAAAACGGAACCTCATCAACTTGTCGTGTCTATGTACTTCAGGAGTAAAAATATAGGCAATATTTCACACAAAAATCTAGGATTAAATGACCCGCTAAATATTCACCATTTGCCCAAAGACCATTTGTCTGTCTGAAATTTGTAATGTTCGCATGATAATTGCGGCCTCTAGAGCGACCAGAAAAACAGACAAAATTAAAGTTTTTGGTCCACTTGATCCCCTAAATATTAACCGATCATTACCACAGCATAAGGCATCTTCTTTGACCAAAAACCGTCCTACATTCAAAATTTCGCGACGATAGGTCCTGACTATGGCCTTGACACACATGTCTAGATCGACTCATCTAATCGAGACAAAATGTGGGTATAGAATCAATATTTCGCGGCGTTACTAATTCTTGGAGCAACAAAAAGCTATAATTCCCTTACAACATCTTTGTGTAGGGTATAAATAATGTTATTATTATTGAATAATAGGTATGTGTTAAAACGGTCAGAACTAGCTTCCTGGCTAAAAAATCCTATTATTAGCTAGGAAGCTATGATATTCACGCCAATCAACACGGAAGGGTAAACATCCAAAAATGGGAAGGTCACTCATTCGCTCGCACCCATATTAATCTAAATATAGTAGAGTTTTACGAGTATGTCGTTCGACTTGTCTGTTCATATTGCCCTGCCCTCCAGAAGGGCAGATATATCAGTTTGTTGTGATTACGATTAAATTATCGAATATTTCGCTCCTTGAAATGATTCCAGTAACATGATTTCTATTAGGAAGGAATCTTGGACACGATTTCGAAATGATCAAATGGTTAGATGAGGTCAATCAACATGGACGAAAAAATCCAGATGCAAATGTGACGAAATATTCCTAGCTTCGACAACAGATCTCAATCTGGATGTTGTTCATACTACTCTTTTCTATAAAATTTGTGAATTGAGTTTTGAACTTTATATGATTGACATCCTATACCAAAAATAACAAGATCTCTGTGATATGATAATCAAGAACTATATCAGATCATCGTTCATCTTGTGACAATATAATTAAATAATTGTGTATATTGTATATTATATCCTATTACATATCATAACTAAACTCAATATTATTTAATTCAATTTCTTCTTTCAGCTCTCAACATTTATCATTCTCATTTACATTCTTTGTACATGGCGATACAGTGTGTGCATCAATCGATTTGCGCGAACATCCAGCCGTTCGGCCATTAACCAAAGAACATTTAGCTGAGGCTGCGGCCGCTTTTAATGCAGCCGCATCGAATGCAAATTCTCCAGAACAAACATCTCCAAATTCTCCAAATGATGCAACTAAAGAAAATGCCACGGGTAATTCACCCGGTGCCGCCGCCACAGCTAATGGTAGTAATAATTCCACAGCGACTAATTCAAATGGTGGTAGTGGTGGCGGAATACCAAAACCAAGAAAAGTTATATTGGCACCATTTGGCATGGCAGCCACCCTAACGGGTAATAGCTACAAACACAATGATCCAATGGCGGAAAAAATTCTCGAAGACTGGGCTTCCTTTTTCCCATTGTGCAATAAAGAGAATAGTGAAGTCCCACCTGTTGTGGAAGTTATAGCTGGTAAGTGTTTTCCCGGCTTCAAATCATTATTACATGGCAAATAAAATATTAAACAAATTTCTCTTTTTATATGTAGGTGGTCATAAAATGTATCATCCATCCATTTATGTACTAGTCACTGATTTGGATGATATGGAAGAAATGGAAGCCGCAGCATCACAAAAATCAGCTTTAGGTTCAACATCATCAGCGGAGGCTGCCGCAATTGCAGCTCTTTCATCGGCCAATAATCAAGGTGTTAATGGTGGCGCTAGAATTTCCACTACCAATGACACAAGAAAACCTTTAACGGAAAATATTTCCAACAACAATAATAAGCTAACTGCTGCATCGTCGATGGCAACATCAACATCAGCATCGCCAACGTCAAATGCCGCCACTAAATCATCATTGGCCCATATGATTGAGCGTCTGAAAATCGACCATACTAAAGTTCAACCATACTACGATACCCAGACACAAAATTTCACCTGCAATACAACAAATACTCATGCTCCGCCCCCTGCTGCATGTGAAATGCCAGAACGAGTTTGGCAAGATTGTGTCACAAATTCGCTGCACTTACAGAACAGCGCAATCTGTACTTCCTCGCACACTTCCGCCAATAACTCGACATCATCATCATCTTCTGCTACAAATAATCCCAATACAACAAATAACAATACCAACAGCAGCAGCAGCGCGTCACCATCCGTTAATTCAATTATGGGAGGTGGCAATGACAACACCACCGTTCCAATGAATACAGATGGAGGTGGTGATCAAATCGACAGTACTTCAAATATGATGGACATAAAACCAAATTTAAACACAACAACTCTATCTCAAAAACAACAACAGCAACAAATTTGGGGTTTTGTTGATCCTACACAAAAATCAACATGTACATGCACAAAGTAAGTTCATACATAAGAACGTTTTTATATACAGTCGAAATCGCCTATAACAACGGTCAAGAAACCGGCGAAAGTGGTCGCTATATGCGATATACCGTTATAAAAGATATGTAATAAAAGGCGGAAGTTCTCTGGGACTTCTGGTTGCGTAGATACAAACGATTTCGACTCTAACACTTATTTTCACCAATGAAATATTTTTTGTAAAAATTAAAATATAATAATTTAAATTCCCCTCACAGACCTTCTCAGACATCAACATCATTATCGGGACAAACTCCAGGTAGTGCTACACCCTTGCAAGGCGGTATTTCAAGTTATTCGCGTAATTCAATTATGGATTGTATGCAAATACCATCGGTGGGCTCTCCCGGAACACCAGCTCCATCACCACACCCGAACTCAGCACTTTCTCAACCCACCTCCGTACCGCCCGCAGATCAAGTGAGTACACACACATACATTTCTTTTAACATCTATATATTCAATAATTATATTCATTGTTTAGCTACTGATGAGTCCCCGCGCTACCACATCTGTACCAAATTTGCAGCAGCCAACAACACCAATAGATCATTTGTTGGACAAAAATACTCCTGCGCCCACACCTACCGATCAACATGATAACAAAAGTATAACTGCATCGCCGTATATTCATCCCACACCTAGTGTTGAGGCTCCACCTTCGGTTGAAGGTATTCATGGCAGTAATGTAGGAGGTGGTAGTGGCATGGGTCCAGGCAGTGTTGGTCCCCAACCACCAAGCGTGGGTCGCTGCACGCCTACCATACAACAACCACAGGGTCAACAACAACAACAACAATGTGGTTCAATTTCGGTTAAAAAATTTGATGTTCAACCAGGCACTCCCTTGTTAATGGGTTCCAGCGGTAATAATAATAACTCATCATCTAACACTGCTGCCGCTGCTGATAGTAAACCAGAGCCTGTTAATACAATGCCAAACAGCAGAACGGCATTACCCAATAATAACTTTAACAGAAAGAATACACCATCGGCCGCAAATGCAATGCATGACTTCTTTAATTTGTACAAACCACCCAAAATCAATGTAAAGGACATTGATGCTTTTGCCAATGAAGATTGTCTAAAATTGGAAGTTCTATATGATTTCACAGTACAAGATGCATGGTAAGTACTTCGCAACTTCCATATAGTCCAATTAACCTACAGAGAGCATTCAAGGAATAATAATTACAAAGTTGTGTGTTGTTATTATCTTTAGCTCTAAGAAAAACTTTTCCGTTGGCTTCTGCCAATAGCATGCATAATTTTAAAGTTTATATGATGTATGCTATTGCAATCGACTAATAAAAAGCCATACATAATTTCTTCACAGTCATAGCACAACATTTGTATTTATCACCACTAATCATTACATAAATATTTTATTTCCATTACAGGGCCAATCATCCGGTGAAACGTTTTAAACCAAACGAAATATCCAAACAAAATCGGGTTCCACGCACAAAAGCCCTGTACGAAGGACATACGCACATCAAACCTCTGTTGCCATCACCGCGTTCTTTATATGGCGAACAATTGTTATCGATAGATCCAACAGGAGCTAATGCAGCAACACCAGCTGCATCAGGAAATGATGGTAATGGTGGTGGAATTATGGGAACAGGTCTCGTTGGAATTGCATCCAATCAAATGACCAACAATAAGATCAACAATAATGATATGTCGTCTGCTGGTGGAATGAGTGGCGGCACCACAACAATGGCCAGCGGAGGTAGTATTTTCGAAGAGCTTGACATCAAAACCGAAGTACCACCAGCTGTGGGTGCTTCATCTATATCGCCCAGCAAAGATTCAAAAAGTGGCATCGGCGGCAATCTCTTCACTGTCGAGGGTCTAAATCCCTCACCAAACGATCTGGAACAATTATTTGAAACATCGTCAAATGATGAATGTGGCAGTGTTCAGATCCACACACCACCGGATTCCAATAACCCATCCAACGGATGTGCTGTTACCACTAATACCATTGATGAACTTAAACGCTCCACCAATTCCGGTTTGGTTGGCACTGTCAATGTTCCGGGGAATAGCGCCGCTGTAATGGCTGCATTGCAGAATTGCAATAGTGTGGTAAATGCTTCAACTTCTGGCATGGCTTCTTTGAATAATAGTGGTGGTAGTTTGTCAAGTGGTGGCATTGGTGGTGGACCCGGTACCATACAGGCCGAAGATCTAACGAAAATGTTTCCAACACCACCGTCACACGAACAACACCATCCCAATTCCAGTCCATGTCAAATGGACATGCAGACCGATCTGAACGTCATAACGTCCACAAATATAATGGGTGGCCAGACATTAGATACTGGCTTGGGTATAAGCGCCATGACAAAAATAAAACAAGAGTATTCCATTGAATTGGGTAGTCCCATAGAAGAACCGATTGAAGATTGGACGTATGTTTTTAGGCCGCCGGCTCAAGCCAAATTTGTGGGATCTTCTAAGTATGCTCCATTAACTAATTTGCCCAGTCAGTCAATGGCACCTCTGGTTATACCAAGCAATTGCCGATATAAACCATCTTGGCAACAACCGCGAAGTACCCATCCACAACAACAACAGCAGCAGCAACAACAACAACACATTCAACAGCAACAGCAACAACAACAGCTTCAACAGCAACATCAGCAGCAGCAACAACAACATCAACATTTGCACGAGTTACTTTCTGCGGCACCTCGCACACCTCTACAGCAGCAGCCACGAACACCATTGGGACCTATGTCTTCATCGCCCATGCACAATACCACTGTGCCAACACCGTTGAGCAGCGGCGGTGGTGGCGGCAGTCTACTTCTAAATCAGTTGAATTGTCCACAGGCAGCTCTTACCAATACTCCACCCACAATGCAGCAGATTATGCAGCGCACCGGTATGTCGCCAATTTCCCCTGCCACGCATGTACCCTTCCCACACACAAGTCCCATGATGCAGCAGCACCGGCAAACACCCATACATCCGCCACCGCCCTATGAAGTTGCAGTAGCCAGTCCCGCCTTATCCACAGCCTCCTCGACGCCAGCATATCTCAACAAACAATATCATTCGCAAGAGCCGCCGCAAACACCCCAGTCGGTGAACAACCATATGCAGACCGTGGGAGGTCCGCCCAGTGTTCAGGGCAACAATCGAGGAGAATCGTCCAATATGGGTTTGTATGCGTCAGCCAATAACATCAATTCCATTATTCAAGAGCTGCCAGAAGTGAGTTCGGTCATTGTCAATATCCTGCTGTATGACACGGCGTTGAATGTATTCCGTGACCACAACTTCGACAGCAGTACGGTGTGTGTATGCAATGCCGATAATCAACGCATTGGAAACATTCGAGGTTCGGATTCGGGAGTATATGTACCGCTGCCGGGCACATCGTTCAATCCGACTGCACCCTCGTTGTCAACAGCCAACGCATTGCGTGCTTTAAGTGCCTTTGGTGGTGGTGGCAGTTCAATGGGGGCAGCTCTTAGCGGTACTGCTGGTGGTGGCAGCATTCTCGGAAGTGTCAGCGCTGCCGGCATAGCGAATTCATTGGATTCTCCCGCATCTTTAGCTGGAGCTGGCTCCAGTTCATCGACAACACCGTCAACCGCCACACCCGCCAACAACGCTCAGCAATATATTACCGGTTATGTCGACGATGATGCCGTAGAGTGTACTTGTGGTTTTAGTGCCGTAATCAACCGCCGCCTAGCCTGCAAGGCCGGCCTCTTCTACGAGGATGAAATGGAAATTACCGGTATAGCCGAAGATCCTGGTCGACATAAGAAACATTCCCTGCTTAGTTTATTAATCAGTTTAGCCTCCAAAGCCAATAACAACAATAACACCAGCAGCAGCAATGGCGTCGTCGACAAATCCGCAGAACAGGTGGCGTATTCAATATTTGATCTGCTACTCGAACAATGCTCCATCATTCAGACTTCCAGTAGTGCGGTACATCGTGCATTACAGCGTCATCGGCGTAGGTTGTCGAAAAGGTCAACAAAACCCCAGTCGGTGGCCGCAATCGTCAATGTGTTGGAGTACATCGATGCCAATGATATTATCGCTTTGGCTTTAGAGCAGGCTCGCTTAGCATTTGATAGCAATCGAATGGACATCATGGAACAGCAAATGATTCCCTTCTCATCACATCGAAAAACATCTAATAACACACAAGTGGCTTTGGCTCTGACAGGGCGCATCAATGTACATAAATGGCCTTATATACCCGTTGGTTTTTCGCGAAGCAATAAAGACATTGTTTCCACAATGAAATCCATTCAACCCATGTTACAAAATGCATTCCATGTGAAGTCTCGCACCGCCGGTTCCAGAGATGCCACGTACACGGTCAGTGGCCCCCTGACTTGGCGGCAATTCCATCGTCTCGCTGGCCGAGCTTCGGGACAATGTGAACCCCAGCCAATACCTTCGGTCATTGTGGGTCATGACAAAGATTGGATATCTGTGGCGCCTCTGGCCATCCATTACTGGGATAAGTTTCTACTGGAGCCGTATTCCTATGCCAGAGATGTGGTGTACTTGGTGATAGCGCCGGACAACGATTACGTATTAAGCAAAACGAAAAGTTATTTTAAGGAATTAAGTACAACTTACGAGATGTGTAAACTTGGACGCCATACTCCAATCTGCGGCTGGAATGGGTTGTTGGCAGTGCAGCAACGACCGGCAAATGATAAGGCATTCGCAACAAACATGGACAATTGGCTGAAGACCTTAGATGATGCTCGATTGGCGGAGCAGTTACGCTTGTACGCCCATGCCTTTCAACATCAGCTGGCACCTTATCTAAATAGAGTACCGGGTGACAAAACATTACTTAATCCACCGGAAACGAGTGCAAGGTGTAGTCAAGGCTATAGCACTGCAACCTCCACAAATTCATCATCCTCCTCGTTTATGATGGGAGGAGGGGTTAATAATTCTAATACTGGCATGGATAATTCTGGTCATGGAGCAAGTGCCGGCGACCACTCACAACCCATGGACACTAATGAACATTCTCAACATGCAACGGCGACACACAACAATGGTGATTCACAGGGTAATTCGTCAGCAGATTCCAAATCTACTGATCACAAGCCAGACGTAAAACCATTAATACTCGGAGACCCGCTGGGCGTAGCCGAATGTCTGGAGGAAGTGAATCCTTCGGCCATTGTTCTCTATGTGGTGGAACCCTTTACATTCGGTTCCGATTCGCCGGACCTGGAGCGATTGGCTTGTATTGCTTTGCTTCGCATGTATGCCGAACTACTCAAAACTATACCTGACTCTGTAAGAGCTCACCTCAACATACAAATAATCTCCCTGGAATCCATACTAGAGTTGGGAAGATCACGAAATCGTAAACGCACATCTGATGAAATCAAGTGCTTGGCCCTTAATATCTTCTCACAATGCAAGCGGCACATGGTACATGCCCAATCTGTTAAAAGTTTGACAGGCTTCGGGACCGCAGCCAATGTAGAAGCTTTTCTCAAGACCAAAGACGAGAAGAATCGTCGACCGTATAAAATGTACACACCACCGTATATCCTTGCACCGATGCACGAGAAAAACGAAAAGACCGACTTCTCGAAAGCGGCATGGGGTGGAATGCGTGGCAGTCCCAACGATCAGAAATACTCTGTAATGTATTGCAATTATTGCCTCAGTGAAGATCAGTCATGGCTGCTGGCCACAGTTACCGATGATCGCGGCGAAATGTTGGAAAAAGTGTGTATCAATATCGATGTTCCCAATAGGACACGACGACGTCGGGCACCTGCACGCCGCATTGGCCTCAATAAGCTTATGGACTATATACTCGGTCTCATATCGCAGACAACACAGACGTGGCGTTTAGTTGTGGGCCGAATCGGACGCATTGGCCACAATGAACTCAAATCATGGTCATATTTGTTGGGCAAACAGAATCTGCAGAAAGCCACCAAACAATTGCGAGATATGTGTAAACAGTGTCAATTGATGTATCCACCTACCATACTGAGTGCCTGTTTGGTAACACTGGAACCAGATGCCAAATTACGTGTTATGCCAGACCAATTTACACCCGACGAACGATTTTCTATACAAAATCCATTGTCGACACCACAGGATGTAACATGTACCCATATTTTGGTATTTCCCACAAGTGCCGTCTGCTTGGTAAGTGTTATAAATATTTTTCGAATATATTTTTGTTGTTGTGGGGAGAGGAATGAGTATGTGCTACATGAATAAAACAATGAACATAATGTGCGGTTGGAACACCACCATCATTTATTGTCTCTTTGGTGGGTTTATTGATTGAGAACAGTTGGATGGATATGCATACTTCTCCCGATATTTCTTGATTTTTTTTACATATTTTTCCGACAAGAGTTCTATAACAGGGTGTTGCTTTCTTTCCAGTCCTTTACCCGCCAATTTCCTAACGAACCTCAAGTCGATCTTGACGATGACTTCATCAATTTCGGCAACGATGAAGATGAAAATGATGTTTTTAAGGATGCCGAACTCATGGATGATTTATTGGGACAATGGGATGGCGGCGGCACAGGTAATTAATCACGTTTTATTTTATTTTTTTGGACACATGAAATTTATTAAAACTATATTTTGCTTTTTTATTATCAATATAGCTCGTGGTATGTCCAACCATAACAGTCCGGACCGCTTGGAAGACAATCGTAGTTGGCAAAGTGTGGGCGGTAACAATTTTAACACCAATCAACATCAGGACATTGAAGAGGTTAGTAGACGAATATCATTTTCTGTTACCTTAAATATATTCTAAATGGTTGCAATAAAAAAATTAAAAATTGAATTTCATAAAAATATAAACTTTTTTTGATGGAAATTTATTGAAATGCCTTTTTCCTATTTTTTAGGTTGGACAAATTAATCAACAACCCTTGGCTGTGGGCTATATGGTTTCCACAGCACCAACTGGACGAATGCCAGCCTGGTTTTGGGCAGCCTGTCCACATCTTGAAGATGTATGTCCGGTATTTTTGAAAACCGCACTACATTTACACGTACCGAATATCCAGACCACCGATGATATATTAAATTCCACAAATGCCCATTCATCGGCTACCGACCATCCCCTGGATTCGACACTAACGGCTGATGTTCTACGCTATGTCCTGGAAGGTTACAATGCATTGTCGTGGTTGGCCCTAGACTCGAATACCCATGATCGTCTATCATGTTTGCCCATTAACGTACAAACACTGATGGATCTCTATTATTTAACAGCTGCTATTACTTAAAGAAACAAAGAGAGCGAGAAAGGATGTATGTGTGTATCACAGATAAGCCGGGAAGAGAGCATCATAAACGACATGTTTGTAAAATTGTAATGATATAATATTTATTTATATATATTTATGCTTTTATTTATATATATATTTTTTGAAGTCTATATATTTGTGCATTACACATTCTCCTCATTTGTTTCTTTTTCTCCATATATCTAGGAATGGTTTCAATTTCTACTCTTATATTTTTATATACATACATACATATTTTTTTCTTTTCTTTGTACACAAATATTTGATTTCATTTCTGTGATATTCAGAAAAAAATTTGTAGAAAATATGAAAAAACAAACAAAATTGAACAAAGAAAAACAAAATATAATTTAATAAAATAAAATTTTGTTGGCTTCGTTGTTGTGTCCCACCATCATACTAAATTGAATAGTGAAAAAAAGAACTACTGAACGCACTTTTTGTGTGTCATTGGAAAGAAAAAAAAACGTTCAGAACAATATTTGTGTGTAATTTAAATGCTTCCTTTTTTCCCCTCCTTTTTTATTCATCTCAAATTGGCTTCCAACCTTGATTTGTTCTTCACTGATATACACACGCAGCAAACCTTCTTCTTATATGTTTCCGAAATGGGTATTATTTTTTATTATTATCACAAAATAATGATTTTGTTTATGGATGTTTTGTTATTTATTGAAGATCGATTTGTAATATATTATTGTAAAAGAAACAAATAATACAGAAGAAAAAGCTATGTAAGTCATAAATGAAATGTTATTAAAATCATCCACCCTCTCTAAAAACTAATCAAATACTATAAAGCTGTATTTCAAATAAGTGTATCTTTCGAAACAAACAAAAAAATCATCATAACGTTTGTTGAATAGTTTCTCTTTCAACGTCATGCGGCCGGCCGTGCCGACTGTCTGGGCATGTTTATTATCCTTTGATCGATTCAGATCTATATATGTATATAGTCCCGTTTTATTTCATATAAACGTGAGTTTATTGTAATTGATATAGTTGACCTTTGGACTTTTTATTTTCTTTTTTTAATAGTTTGGCTTGAGGTCAGAGGAAAATAAAAACAAATGCTATTGATTTTTATTTCTCCTCCGGCCAAACTATAAAAAAAAGAAAATAAACGTGAGATTTTCACCAGTGCTTTAGTAAATGAAATATCGTTAGAGTGTATATCTCATAACTGGCGAAAAGTCGATGTCTTTTACTCTGCAAAAGGATGTGCGACTTCGAATAGATGGGAATTGTCTTTGTGGATGTAGGAAATCCGATCTTGCAGTGACCTACAACGATGTCCATTTCTATTTTTGCCAAAACATTTTATTTCCATTATTTTTTTTTTTCATTTCTAATTTAAAAGTTACACTTTAAATTCGAAAAATAAAACTCATTATTCTGTTATGTTTTGAATTCGAAATTTCATAATTCGAATTACAAATGGAATCATTAAATTTCAACAGAAAATATCTGAATATTTAATTGAAATAACAAAAAGATAAAAAAGCAGAGACGACATCTTCTTTCTGTTCTACAACAACTTGTTGGAAGTATGTTTTAATTCTTCTACAGGAAGATACGTATTTATTTGAAATATTGCTTTATTTAAAAATCTTAAATTGTAAATAAAACCGAAATTAATTCTAAAATTAAATTGAAAGAAACTAAAAAGTAATAGAAATCAAATTAAAATTCATTCTAAGCAGATATAGGGCAAAAGAGAAAAAACAAATAATTATTGAAGAAAAAAACAACAACTACAAAGAAACCATAATTTACCCCAACAATTCATTTCTGCAATTATATTTATAATGCAATTATCTACAAAAAATATATAATTATATGCATATATAAAACAAAGAAACAAACAAACAAAATCTTAAATTATTTCATTAGCAATTAAGTTAATCAACAACAACAAAATGAGGAGTTTAGTACAATTAAGCGGAAAATACAGTTTTATAAATTAGAAAAAAAGAAATAAATAAAAAGTAAGTAAAATAAAAACTCATAGAAAAAAGAGAAGCAAACAGAGAAGAAGAAATGTGAAACAATTGCTTAAATTATGTTATAAGAAATAAATGAAAACATTAGATATAAATGCTATAAATTAAGTGTTAACATTTTTAAGAAGAAACAATAAAAAAAGATATAAACTTTTTTAGCATAATTTTAAGTAATAATAATTTTAAGAATTTTTTTCGTTTAGATTTTAAGCTGAAAACTAAGTAAAGGTTCGCTAAAAACAATTTAAACCTAAACACACACAAACAAAAACTTGAAAACATAATTTTTTGTTTTTGTAACAATATCTACTGTAATTTAAAGGAAAATGTATTTTATATTTATAAAAAAAAAAAACAAAAAAAAAAACAATTAAACTAATAAATAACACATACTTAAACCAGAAGAAAAAATAATAGCAAATGTTTTGAACACAAAAAGTAATTTTTTGTTTGTTTTTGTACATGTAAGCAAGCAACCAATCAACTTAATATTATTTTTGTAGATGTTTGTAATTAACTGTATGTTCTCCCATTTCTTTTTGTTTTTCTCTCGTACTAAAATAGCAAAAATTGTGTTTACACTATGTTTTTTTATTTTTATTTTATTTTTACATCATATTCTATAAGCCAAGCCTAGTATATTCAATATACATATACAATATATAAAGCAACAAAATACTTTATGTGTAAATATTAATTTAAAAAATAGCATTAAAACTAATATAAGGAACCAACCAAGAACATGTTTCAATCTATTATTGTATAACAGCATCTAATAATAATAAAAATAATATAATTTAAAAAACGATTTGATTGATGATTGTAATAAATTTAAAAAAAATATATAAAATTTATTTGTTTTTGATATTATGTTATGTACAACCATAAATATCTATAATTTTAATCTGCATAGAGGAGATATATACATACATGTGTAAAATAAAAAATATATATTTACATTTAAGTATTTAATTAATTGTAACGTAGCTACAAAATCACACACCCACATAAAACAACAAAAGAAAAATTAGAAATACTACCCACACACACTTTGTAAATAACGTTTATATGAAGAAATATCTCATTTTTGATATATATATATATATATATATCCCTCTACTTTTCTCTCATTATTCATAAAACAAAATTGCGGATAGTTTTCATTTTATACAAAACAAAAGCACATATTAAAATAATAACAATAATAATAATAATTGATTGTATTAATTACAAATAAAATATTATGTATTGCACTTAATTTGTTTTAATTTTAATTCGATTGTCTGCAGTTTTCAAAAATGTCAGTTCACAAGGTTTCTAAGGATGGGTATGTGTATGTGATGTAATAGACATCTTGCCTACTTCTATCGTACATACATAGTCTATGGAAAGAGGTAAGAGTGACCTTCATCCCGAAAGCCGGTAAACCGAGTTATACGCTACCAAAGGACTAAAGACCGATTAGTCTCTCTTCCTTTCTACTCAAGACTCTAGAAAGGTTACTAGACTCAGAAATTAGAAATACTATTGATCAACGTAAACTTAGCAATTCCCAGCATGCATACATGAAAGGCAAATCAGTGGATACGGCCATACATGAGGTGGTTGGACGCATTGCCTACACCTTGGCAGCGTTCCTCGATATCGAGGGAGCTTTCAACAATGTGAAGCTAGAGGCCATCCGTTCTGTTCTCGTAAGCTCAGTATCCCCTCACTGCTAACGGACTGGATTGATAAAATGCTGGAAAGCAGAATTATCGACTCATCCTTAGGAGAGAGTTCCGTGAGGAAATCTCTCAGCAGAGGCACACCACAGGGAGGAGTATTATCTCCTCTTCTATGGAGTACGACCATATTAAAATAGACGATGATGTAGTCTTGCTGGTTTGTGGGAAATTTCTAACGACCATTTCAGATATTATGGAGAGCGCCCTTCCAACTCTGTCCAACTGGGCACACGCCAAGAGTCTTGGTATAATCCCAAGACGGAATTGGTGCTCTTCACTAAGAAACGTAAGATCCCAAACTTCCGCTTGCCATTTTTAGTAGGCGTGACCCTATCTCTTTCAGAAGAAGCTAAATACCTTGGTACAATCCTTGCCCGCAAATTAACGAGGAATAGGAATGTTGAGGAACGCTCTAAGAAAGGACTAATATCACTCTACACCTGTAAGAAGTCCACAGTAAAGAGCTGGAGACTAATACCGAAGATCACACATTGGTTGTATGTGACGGTCGTACTCCCCATTCTTACTTATGGTTACCTTGTATGGTGGCAGGGGTCAATAAAAAAGATACTGCTGGCAAAATTAAATTCAGTACAGCGACCGGCTTTGAGAAGTACTCACATTAGTGACTATGTTTGCTTTCATAGAGACTTTAATGACATCATAGTAGAGTTGCCTAGTAGGGAATCCTGGACTAGTGGCTCTTTACCTAGGTCTGTTATTTTTCACAGACGGGTCAAAGATGGAGGAAGGCACTGGTGCAGGCGTTTACTGTAGGAAATCCTTGCAATCACGAAAGCGGCCGTGATAGTAAAAACACTTACTGCCGACAATACTGGACCGGTGAATATGCATGTTGATAGTCAGGCGGCCCTCAAGGCTTTGAAGTCGTGTACTATAAACTCAAAAATAGTTCTTGATTGCAAGTCCGCTCTGAATGATACACGACAGATAGTTAACTTATATTGGGTTCAAGGACATACTGACATAGAAGCGAACGAGATAGTCGACGAGCTTGTTCGAGGAGGCTCACCGTCCAATCTTCCGATTGAGAGATATGTGCAACAACCCATTGGCTATTTCATTGGCAAAATCCGCTTGTTCTACGGTGAGAACCTGGTTGCAGAATCTCAAAAGTTATCTGGCCTAAATTCTCTAGAATAATAAGAGAGAGATCAAAATCATTGTGGGGATCATAACAGGTCACTGCAAGATTAGATCTCTCACTTCGAAATGGGACTTCAGCGGAGAGGATCACTGTCGTCTATGCAAGGACGAAGAAGAGCTAGAAACAATTGAACAGAAACAATTGTCGCAGATTGGCAGAAGACATAAACAGTTTGAAAGCTATGAAATTGATAATCTAGCCTTCTTTTCTAAAATAGACCCCAACCAAATCCTAGGCATTGTATAAAGGTTGACCACAATGGACAATAGTCTCCGAGTGGACGGTTGTTACTAACAACCGTACATCCCTAACGTAAGGCACCCAATCGTGGAGTACGAATTTGAAAGCGATCAATGAATAGTGATTAGTTATTGAATTTCTGGACAATGAAAAAAAACTTGCTCGATATCTCCCAGTCGACAAATTCGGTAAGGCATAACTTATTTTAATAAAAAATATATTGCAAAAAATCTTGAAAAGACAATTTTATTTCGATTTCGAATGTATTACCGACTAACTGAATCGATGTGCCTATACACTTGCAATAATAAGCTTTCGAACGCCTCAATATTCAATTTTGAAGTGCTTAACGAATGGTCGTGGAAACGACCTTCACATCGATTTGTCTGATAGTTTACTTTATTTTCGATATAAGGGGAAGGCCACGAATTCGATGGAAAGATCAAGTGCAAGATAACATCTCGGAGCATGGTCTTTCAAATTGGAAAAGCTGCGCAAAGGACCGACGCGCCTCCAAATCTTATGGAACATATGTTCTGTCACTAGCCAGCCAAGTAGACAATGAACTAGAGATCTTCAATGTCTACATTCCTTCAGTAAACAGCATCGCTTTCAAACCTCCATCAAGCATCTATTGTTGGGTAATAGTCGAATGGTCATTGACAATTTAAATGCCAATCATGAAATATCGTTTTCACACCTAGTACAAGACCGTCGCTGGCTAAGCATTACAGACCAGATAGACGTCTCGGAATTCGCTGAAATAAATGAATGTTCCCCCAAAGAATAGTTGCCAACTGCTCCAGCTCCCCTGTTATCACCATTGTTAGCTAGTCGCTTATAGCCACAACATCCTGGCAGACACATGTGGCCCTTGCTTCAGATCACATCGACTTTGTGTAGCTGGATACGTGCACATTTGTGAACTATGGTAAAGCCACTCAAATGATCTTGACAATGCCAGTTAGTCATCAGCCGGCACCCTCAAGTGCCATCACTCCGGCGGCTAAGCGATATATCCCTGCAGGGAGAATTCCCAAGTTTAGACCAGATTATCCCACAGCCAGACCAGCTCCCCTGTTATCACCATTGTTAGCTAGTCGCTTATAGCCACAAAATCCTGGCAGACACATGTGGCCCTTGCTTCAGATCACATCGACTTTGTGTAGCTTGATACGCGCACATTTGTGAACTATGGTAAAGCCACTCAAATGATCTTGACAATGCCAGTTAGTCATCAGCAGGCACCCTCAAGTGCCATCACTCCGGCGGCTAAGCGATATATCCCTGCAGGGAGAATTCCCAAGTTTAGGCCAGATTATCCCACAGCTACTGGATGACTTCGAAACCAACTGCGGCAAACCTGTCATGTTGACCCAAAGATTGCTTCCCTGACGGAAGAGATAAACGTTCTCGTAAATCAGCACTGTCGTGAAAAATAGGTCAATCATGGAAATAACTGCGAAACTGGTTTGCATAAACTTTGATCCACTATAAAAAATCTATCTGGCACAAATAAGAAACAAGGTAACATAGCCATAACCTTTGAGGATCAGCATCACAAGTTCGTGCCATAATGTCATCTCTGTGGTTATGCTAAAACATTTCGGAGGAAAGAAAAAACTTCGCTAATGAATTCATAAAAATACCCCCAAATTCTGGCAAAAGGTATTATTTTCCGACGAAAGCAACTTTTAACTTTAAAGAAAAAACTTAGCACATGGCGCCAAATCTAAAGTTGTGTCTACTTTCACTTTTTCTGTAATTCTACTTCAATTCAATTACAAATAAACAAATACAATTTTCGAACATAATAATTACTTTTTATTTTATTATAAATAAAACATTAGATTTTTTGGTTTTACATGCTAATGTTTCTTGTTTTTTTTTTGCAGTTTTTGTATTTCAGTGAATTTATGTTGTTGTTTGTGTTTTAAATTAAAATACTACTACTTCAGATTTTATTATTTATTTATTTTTGAATATATTATGCAAATAAAGTTTATAGTAATTTCCATTGAAAATGACAAGATGATCCTTTATTCCTTTAATTGCAATCGTAAATAGATTTGAATTCGATGCAATCGACGATAGACCGACAATGATTACAATTTACCAAATATTACAATTGTTTTTTCTTTTTCATTTTACTTTTATTTTATTTAGTTTATTATATAGTTGTTTATGATGGTATATAGAAATAGCAAGAAATTATAATCATAAGTTGTTTCTAATTAATTAGATAATGTTTTACATAGCTCAAAATACACATAAAATGATGGGGGCCCATGGAATAAACTAAATATATTATAATAATCATAATTGTATTAATAATAAGAATCAACAAAAAAGGAAGTAAACGAAAGCATAAAGAAAACAATATTACAAGTTGTATTTTTTAAACCACACCCTTTGGGCCAACATGAATTTATGCACGGTCAGTCATTTTTTTTTTGTGGCTTTAAAAATCGCTATCATAGTTGACGTCTTGAGCTTGTGTTGATTCGTCTGAACGCTCCGAAATAGGTTCTAAGTCGGCATCCAATCCAGGCTCATTCATGGTAGAGGGACAGCAGGGATTTGACATTGAATCAAAGGCATCCTTTATTTGATTATTGGCTCCTTTGGGATCTAAATCTGTGGCCCAGCTAAAGTGCATTAAGGCTGAATCTACGTTGCCTAAGGTTTTGTGAATTTTTCCAATTAAGTAGAACACAACTGACTCCTTAGGCACGATTTCTTTCAGTTCTTCGAGTTCTTTGAGGGCTTCTTGATGTCGACCTAATGAGAAATAAATTGAGCCCCGGTGGAAGCGGGCCAATGGATTCTTAGGATCTAGGGTGGCAGCAGTATTAAGAGTTTGTAATGCCTGTTCCTTTTTCTGCATAAAGTATTGCATAGCTCCAATGTGCACAAGAATAACAGAGTTTTGGGGATTGATTTTCAGTGCTTTGATGTAATGTAACTCTGCCAGTTCGTATTTTTCCTGCTTGGAGTATATTGTGCCAATGCCAAACCAGGCATTATAATGACGTGGGTCTCTGACAACTGCGGCACGGAAGTAATCCATAGCCTTGTCGAGTTCTTCGGTCAACACCAACTCATGACCCAACAATGTATAGCTGTAGACAAACTCAGGATCCACTTGTACGGCCCTCTTAAAGAACTTAATGGCAGTCTCGTGCTCCTTATGCAACGAAAAACAATTTCCAGCCACACACCAAGTTATGGGCGATGTTTTATTTTGATTTATTAAATCTTGAGCCAAGGCAGATAGGCTAACTTCTTTCTGCAGATGCCACAGTGAGGAGGAGTATATTTCCATGTAGTCGAGGCGATATGGCTCCTGTTCGTGTATACGTTTAAATATTGCCACTGCGTTTTCATATTCCCGCAGCTCATAGTGTGACATGCCGATCAGCGATTGTACCCAACTTGATGAAAAATGATGTTTTGGAATTGTCGACTCTAGATGTTTAATACAGGCTTTACATTGAAAATGGGCCAACAGCTTATAGCCCTCGCCCAAATCTCGAAGTAACGCCATCAGACCATCGGCAGATTGTTTCTTTAACGAAAGTAAATGATGAGCCATAGTCTGGGCATTGTTTAAACTATTGTTCAGTTGCACTTTGACATCGTCGGATGTGCGATTCGTTGCCGATTGCGCTGATGTTATGGTCTCGACTTTTTCTTTGTCTTTGCGCAGATTTTTATCTGAAATTTTTTCGCTATTCGCTTGATTGCTGTTGGATTTGTCTTCAATCAGTTCATTGTTAAGACATATTTTACCCATACGAGCTTTAGTTTTGCGTGGAGGTGAACGGGGCTGCACAAATTTATTCGATATATTTGGCGATTTGTTGTTTTCTTTTACGGAATATCCACTATGACTAAAGAGACGTGAACTACGTCTCACCGCTGCATTAGGAATATTTGTACCTGTGTAGGGAATAAAAACATTATTATTCTTTAATAATTGTCTTTATAAGGAAAAAACCATCTTTATAAGGAAATGTGTACAGAAAAAATATAACCGAGTACAGCAATTTTGATGAGACCCTTTAATATTTTTACATAATTCCAACACCACACAATTCAAGATTGTCATTTAAAAATTTCAGTTGAAGTTATCGAAAACATTTGATGTTATAGCCGATATATGGCGGAACGTCCACATTTTAAAGGAATTTTTTTCCGAAGCAGTTTTTACGACTGATGCAGATATGTTTGGATCTAATTAAGAGGTGTCAGAATTAGAATCAATAGAATAAATGACCTTGCGACGAATGCGCAGTTGGAACCAAGCAGAGAAAGATTTTAAATTGAGGGACCCAAAAAGCTAAAATTATTCAATATGTTTTTTATAAAATATAATGGCATAAAATTATACTGTTGATAGTACGAAATTATACTGTTGATACCATTATATTTTTACTCTGAAATAAAGTGCACATTTATTGAAGTAGAAAACAAACCCGCATTTAAGATTTCGACCTAAGTTCAATGATTTTTTTTTAATTTAAACGATGCTAACTTACCGCTGGAAGCATTTCCTGTATTATTCGGAGTCCGTGGTGTTATATTTCCCGTTTGTGTAAACACAGCCGGCTTGCTTCCACTTCCTGAATTTGATGATGTATCCTTACGATTTATCAAGCTACTAACATGGCCCTTCATTTTTTTACCAATAACTTTCTGCTCCTGATTGACTTCGGCCAATGTCTGCGGCAATGGGGAGTTGGTTATGTTGAGATTTGATTGTGTGTGACCAGCACCACTGAAACTACCCAAAAACGATGAATCGCCACCACACGGACTGTTTATGGGCAGAACACCGAAGCTGGGCGTTGTTGGTGACATAGCTGACAAATATTTGAATTGTTTGCGGAATGGTGTACCAGCACCACCACCATCGCCCTGTGTACTCATCAGACCGCTTGTTTGATCGGCGTTTGTTGTATAACCGACCGGAGTGTCGTCCAACATCATCATGCTGGCATTCTGTTGATTTTGATTTAGACCATTGCCAACACAACTCATTCCAGTCGTGTTACCCCTTAGCATCGATATGGAACTATTTAGGTTGTTGTTATTATTATTTGGTGTGGTCAAATTCTGTAATGCGCCGAGGCCATTGTTATTAGTTGGTGGTTGGATTTGCTGTTCTACGGGTGTGGAGAGTATATAATTTGAACTATTACACAATTGACTAACAAAGCCGCCATCTGTGGAATTTGCTGGACCGAAATTTGAATAATTCATACTAGCACATTCGTTCAAGCTTCCCCCACCTCCGCCACCAAAGAGAATCATCGAACTGGTATTCATATTGCCTTGGCAGGTGTTGAAAATATCAGTATTGGGAATTTGAAATATACTGTTGGCATCTGGATATTCGCCCAATTGACATAGATCAGCAAAGGCTTGCCACATAAATGGATTTAATTTAAGCGCCTTCCGCAGTGCCATTGTGGCAATTTTATTACGTTCCGTCTTAACGCATATCTGTGCTATCAACTGTAAAACGAAGCATGCAATTTCGCCAAACTCCTTTACAATATCTTCAAAACTGTTTTTCATATCGCCAAATCCATTGCTGGTTAGAGCACATTCAGCTTCGGAGTATTTCTTTAGTTGGTAAGCACATTTGGCTTGCAGGAAACGACATTGAGGGGAACGACGAGATTTTTCACGCAACAACCAGTATGTTTGGTGAATGAGATTGGATCGGTAATAACTTGTGGCTAAGATGAAAATTGTTTCGTCTGTCTCCACTGTAAATAAAGTAAATTGAAATTGTTTAATATCATTGTTTAAGATTTTTTAATAATAAAAAATAATTATGATAATGTTTTGTATTTTTAATTAATTTTTAATTTTAAACATCAAACCCGGGTTTTACTCCTGCAAACTTTCCTAAGCTCTTTTTCCTGCATTTTATGATTATCTTTTGAATACTTCCCCTTTTTTAACTTTCTTACCTGTCTCTCTCCTAAGAATTCGGCAGACTATCCAGTAAAATGTTGAACATTATTCGATACTAAATATGTAGAAGACTAGTAAATACACAAATGTCCAAAATAATAAGTACACACTTTAGTATGCATAGTTTCCGTTCAATTCAAGAAATGTTTACACTGTAAAACGAAATTCAATCTTAGTGTAAATCTTTAATATAAATAAATTTCTAAACGCGATAGAAAAATCAGCACATTTTATTGATCTGCTGTCGTCAATATGTTTTAGTATTCAAAATGGGCCGCTGGATTTGTAATTGAAATATTGAATGAAGGCCATACCAGAAAAATCATCTTCATACCATTAGGTTGTCACCTCCGCCTCGACATCCATGTTTAACTGCATTTCTGGCAAACAATATATGATTTTTTCCTCTTGGGGCGTCTTACACCTAGGCAGTAGTCGTTACTAAACAGAAAAATCTATCTTCATTTCATTGCTCCATAAGATATTTCATTTATTTTTATTCAGCTCGGGTTCAGACTAACCCATATAGTTGTCATCGAAGAATGCCCTGTTGATCGTTTGATCATATTATTCCGAAGAATTGAAACTTTTTGGTTAATGATTCTGTTATTTGGCTGCCCCTAGTCTTCTCAGATCAGTTTGGTTGAATAGAACGTATAATACCCAAACGGATTCTGTAATTCGAGCAAGATTAACATAATAGAGGGCATGTGAGCCAAAGGACGGCAACATCTGGTAGAATAATTCTGTCAGGAATGCTCCACTTCAAACTCGAACGAAATGAAGTGCAAACTCTAATAACACGTCGTTGAAACTAACTCAATTATTGGCACAATACAAGACCATTAAATCATTGTGTGTTCGCATCATTATTGTGTGTCCAACTTAATAAACTCTGAAAGACAAACTTTTGTAAATAGTCGTCAAGTTGAGTTGCAAGGTTTAAGAGAGTTTGCTAATCATGGTTTCAGGGGGCTTTTCAGACCCTTACATTATCTGACGACTAGATGGCATAACTATAATTTTTTTACCTACGAGAAATTGTATCAATAAAATGCTTAATTTGATCCTTGGGTATACTATTCCTTGCATCCTGAAGCTTTGGAAGAGCCTATATCTGTTTGTTTGTGAAACCCTTTTATTTTGGTATCTATGATACTCCAAAGTTTTTCTATAGGAGGTTTGTGTTGACCATTATAAAACTCCATCATTAACACACAACCCACAACCCATCATTAACATGTTTTGGTGTATGTTTTCTTCAGCGAAGGGAGCTATGGTTCCTACATATTTGTATAAACAATCCGATTTATTACTTCATAAATCTCGTAAATATATCGAACTCTATAAAAAAAAAAACAGCCCGATACCATTATTACCAGTACCCTTGCAATACTATGGACTTTCTCACGGTAATTATTCCCATGCCTGAGTCTTAAATATTTATTTTTAATTCATCCGAGATATATTATGATCTCGGTTGGTTAGGTTGTCCCATAAGTTTCTTCCGCGCCACGCTATGGATGAGTCTGACTGGCTATACTTATATAAACATGCAGGCTTATGTCTTAGCCGTTTATGGCATCGGTTTCAGTCGTACCAGAGCTCTTTCAAAGTTTCGTTGTTGACAAAGCCTCTTTTAAAATTGTTTCTGCCCCGTTCAATGTGGAGAACCACAAGAAGCATTTACGTCATGTTACGCTTCATTGCTTTAAAAAAGCCAATGGTGCAAAGGACACTGCATACGAGATTTGCACCGTTTACGGGAGTGGTACTACGAACATTAGGACCGCAATTGGTTTAAGAAATTTAGAACCGGCAATTTTGATTTGCAAGATGAAGACCGCTGCGACCGCCCCTCTTACCCATAAAATATTATTTATTTCATAAAATTATTTCAAATTTTGCATTAACGATTGTTTTAATTGAATAAAGTACCCGATTTAAAACTGAAAAAACCAAAACGAAATCTTTATATTTGAAAAAGTTAAGCGGTATTTATTAGCCTTGTATTTTAAGTTGCACCACCAGTGTATTTATATGTGATTATTGTTCTAACCCAGAGGTCCACAGGGCATAATTCTGTGGGCCTGACTTGGCAAAAAATAAACGATTTGTCATGAGGAGTGCTGTGGCAGTTTGGGTACTGATCGCATGAGCCAGAAATAATTCTGGATTTATAATTATTTAAGATTGTGCTCCAACCAAGTCTGAGTTGAGCTAGAGTTATTCTAGTGGACCTAGGGAGGCATTTTCTGAGTCACTGGGTTGATGCTGAGTGATGTTCATTACGGACTCCATTTTGACAATATTCATCGTTGGCTTGATTTACCGAGTATGTAGCTGTGTCAGACCTGCTGCTATTTAGTCTGTTGAGGTCTTACGGTATGACGTATTGGATGTCTGGGCAAAAGTGTATGTCATTCCGGATAACCATACCCCAAACTGTAGTAACGGGGAAAGAAAAAATATCTATAATTTTGCAAAAGTAAAATACATAAATAAGTCAAATGGTGTATTCCATTTATAGGTTACAAGGACTATAGAATCCTACAGAAAGGTGCAGAATTGAATATAAACCCATCATACATTTGTATTCCATTTCATGTAAATGATGCATTAATGACCCTGCATTTGCCAGTCACAATCGAAATTTTGCCCATGTTAAGGAATGGATACTTGTATTACGTGCGTTTAATATGGTTTAAATTGATTTAGCTTCAGACTGCTGCATATATAATTTTGTACAATTCATTCCAAATCTAAGCTAAATTTAAAAATTCTGCTTTAACATTTACAGCTTTCTGTTATGATCCAGTGAACATTTGTTTACAAAGGACTCGTGATGAAATAAATATATATTTTTTTAAAGAGAATCGAATATCGCAGGTCTCTTCTCTGTCTCTGTCAATATGTTGTCACATAATTAAAATTTCTGTAGTAGCAGGCCCACTAACATTACACAATTCATATCAATCTTGATCCTAGAACCGATTGATAAGGTAATAATATATTGAAGATCTAGACCAACGATGAGGGTATTTTCGGAACTTGATGCAGCTACCTATATGACTTTATATATGGAACCGCAGAATGTCGAGTTTTTTTCTAAATACTCACACTTAATATTCCTTCATGTGGTTCAAGTTCTTGCAAGATCAGATAACTTTGTAAACATTCTATTTTACATGACTATTACTTAGATTTCAATTTATCATTTATCGATTACCTATAATAAGAGTTTCTATATCATATCATACAATATTTTCCACTAACCTTCGGAGCATAAACGTTCAGCCAAAAATACAGCATCCTTGTGATCATAGTGATTGAGACAATGCCATATGGCAGCCTAAGAAAATAAGAACAATACTTAACAAATGTTACACATTTATATAGACCGCAAAATTCTATACCTGCACAGGCTCTTGTATGATCATGTTTTTTACTGTATGTTGAAATCACGATATGGCAATTGTTTTATGATCAGTCGATGGTGTAAAGATTAGACGAATTTGTATTAGAATTTCAATTTAGGCACAAATTACAATCGGCAGTTCGGTATCCTTGTTTTGTTTAAAATATGATTTTTTCACTTTTGATACCCCCTCATACGACAATGTTGTTGTTGTTTTTTTACATTCATACAAACACTTTCCTCTTTGGTATATAGGGTTAATAGACTCGCAGTGCTCGCGATGTTGATGATGACAGTCGACCACCACCACCACCACCGTCAATAGCTCAAACAAACGTACACAATTTTTTTACCTTAGTGGCAAGCAAACCAACTAAGGCCACTCGATTGATTTCGTCGTGACTACAGAGCAATATCAAAAGATTTTTCACTTTCAATTGCTTGCCTTTTTATTCACACGTTTACGTTATCTTTCACGAAATCTAAAGAATTTAACCTTTGCTGATTCCCGTTTCTAACATTTTCGCGTTATTATGCTGCAGAAAACTTTGAGATTTCCTTTTAATTTTCTTAAACTAGAAATAGAAAAAATCGAAATGCCCAATCCCGATGATTATTTTTTCACCTTTTTCTCCGACTGAAGACAAATTGAAAAACGTTCCACCTGCTAACGAATGGGGAGAGAAGCCAAAATGGCCGATAAAGATGAATTGAAAATGGTATAACAGAAAGTTTACGAATGAGGTGGGATGGAGACTAAATGGAAACCGACCTTAGAGTAATTGGTAATTGATGATAGGGATAAGTAAATCGAATTTCAACTAATCGGTTAATCCAATTTTTGTATTGAAAAGTCGACTTATACTCTCGACTATGTATCCCTATCTTAAACTGGAAATAGAAAAAAGAGTAATTGATGATATACACAGAACCAGACAGTACTACAACGTACTTAATAACGGCGACGAAATGCCTGCTAAACTGAATACTATTTTTACTATGTGGCGGCTGCCTTCTTTCGGTAAGAGCAATAGGAAAGTTAAGGCGATTTCTTTCTGTTATGCCATCAATAATATTATGACATTAATATGTAAATATATTAAAAATTGGAATTAATTTCACATAAACTATTCTAATAAGAGTAGAAAATCATGAGCCGCTACGTCTCAATAATTCACAACGGCTTTAGTAATACTCAATGTGTTGGCTTGGACATTTAAGAGTATATCATTGATGAGTATTGGGTATACGGTTACCGAAAATATATTTACCGCCGTACAAATGTATAAACAAGTCGTTATTACACTATTAATGAATGTTCACATGGTATAAGGTAACTGCAAGTGAAAACTTACAAAAACCAATTTTCTGAATGCTTGGATCATTTTAACAAAAGGAGTTCTTGTGAGTTAAGAACTGTTAATAAAGACCGCTTATATTCTGAATTAACTTTTCGGTGACACTAGTATTACTTTTTTACCAGCAACAACAAAAACCATTAAAATGTGTATAGACTATGCCGTCCATATCGATTTGGAGTAAATCAAAGAACTAAATCGTATTTGTTTCAACTAGTATTAAAATATTATAAAAATATCAGTAAGCTGATATTTGTTTACCTATACATACATATTTAAATGTTTTCATTGGTTGTAAACAGTTCTGCTGAGTTCTTATGAGAGAGAAGTAAGAAAAGTGACAAGGGGAATGAAATTCAAAAGAGGAACGTAAAGGGCAGCATCAGAGTTGCTTAAAAAAGTTGAATGTGTATAGTAAATACAGTTCCAATAAGAAAAATAAAGCAGAAACTTAATATTCTGCTTTATGAAAGCCATATAAATTTAAATTTTCTTAGTCCTTGGCCCCTTTATGCCCGGACGCTACATCAAATAATCTAATTATAATAATAAAAATGTTTTTGAAGTACAAAGGTTTTTAACCTCTCCAACGGAATAGACGTTAAGATATTGTTAAGCTAATACATTGTTAATTTTAAGCTTTTGGTAGTCTATATTTTGTTGTTATTTGAATCGCTCTTGGCCCTTTGGGCTAGATTCTCGTTTATGAAATAAATTGAAATTGGTATAAAATCATGGCATAATTACAGAAGGTAGTTTCATTTGATAAATTAGGTGACAGCTCTTTTTAATTTGGAACTCATCTATCAATTTCAAATTGTTTGAAAAATAAATTCCACGTCGATTGTCATCTTTTTTAAAAATATTAAAAATGTATATTTTCTAAAGATTTAAAGTATTTTAAAAAGAACAATTCTATTCAAAATTGCATATAAATACGCAGATATACTTTTTTTCATGACTGGCGGCCAAAAAAATGCAATGTAATAAATATCTACATTTTTTTTATTTATTTATTATAGTATTAACATTGTAGTAAATACAATGCTAATAATAAAAGTATCTAGCATTGGCTACAATGGCCATCAGCTAAATCGGTTGACAATTCTTAATAATTTTATTAAATAGTAATTTTAAGATGACGTATGTAGTTAAATATCTTATTAATATTGACAGTAGTAGGTGATATTAAAATATTCGTTCCATCGTTGTTGAGGTAGTTGAGGCGGGCTCTGTCGAAAGCGTTGCATGTTTCTAAAATATGTTGTGCTGTGTAGACATTTCCACATTTGGGACACTTGTTGTCAAAACTTGTGTTAATGAGATGTTGGTGTGTGGCAATAGTATGACCCATTCGAAGTCTCGAAAATATGCGCACTTGCTTTTTACGTACATTGGTAGGATAGACGGGCACTATGCAGTTAGGATTTATTTTGTTATAGTGCACATGTTCAAATAACATGTGTTGTTGTTTAGCATTTTGTTTAAGTTTGTGTTTTATAAATGTTTTTAAATCTATTTTTTCGATTATTCCATCTAACAACACTGGAGCGGTGCAGGCGTACTTTGCTGCTTTATCGGCGTTTTCGTTTCCTTCAATTCCAACGTGACCAGGTACCCAGAAAAGTTTTATGTAGTTGTTCTCGGTTAGCAAATCCCGAATTTTGTTAATTGAAGCCCAACTGTTGTTTGATGTACATAACACCGATTTTAGAACCGATAAACTGTCGGAAATAATTATTGTTTCTTGTTGTGAATGGATTGCAATATTGATAGCTTCTATAATGCCAGCAGCTTCGGCCGTGAAGATAGATGAAAAATCAGCAAGGGTTTTAATGGATAGAGTATCGCCATTGGAATCAACCACTGCGTATGCGGAGACTGAGTTTGTTTTAGAGGCATCAGTGTATAAGAACTGCCAAGACGAGTGCTGCAAGAAAAAAAATCGAAAATGGTGTGCGTATATTTCGTTTGAAGTTCCATTTTTTCCTACAATGCACGATTTGTCCGAAAAAAGCCATGAAGGGCATTTAGGTTTAAAACATGTAACCTTATCCCTAAAGTTTACTATGTTATTCCTAATAGAATAGTAAACAACTGATGTTTTTTTAGGTTTTCGTTTTGTTTTTAAAATTTTCGATACATCAGTGTTAATAACGGAAGACTTGGATGACAGGATTTTAGGCAGTAACATATTCCTAGACTCGAGAATTCTATGCTCGAGAGAAGGCAAACCAGATTCAATCAGTAAGGTTTTGATGGGAGTAGTTCTATATGCGTATGTGCTGGCCCTGATGCTATCGTGGTATACGGCTTTAATAAGTTTCAAAGTTGAAACAGGACTGTCCCCAAAAAGGTACAAACCGTAGTCAATTTTGCTTAGCACCAATGTCTTTACCAAGTAAGTAAGGGTGTTGATGTGGGCGAAACTTTTATGTGAAAGGTACTTTATAATGTTTAAACGGGGTATAAGGTCCTTTTTTAATTTAAGTATGTGTTCGTTCCACCGATAGTTTTTTTGAAAAATTACACCCAGGATCTTAAGCTTCTTGACGTAGGGAATGCTAACACCGTTGATTATTATGTTGGTGGGTTTACAGCTATGCTTCCGACATATATGTAGAATTGAAGATTTTGTAGGAGAGATTTTGGCACCAGATGTTTTGGCCCAAGTGTTGATATCATTTATAATGTTAGAAAATTGAATGTTGGCAGCATCGTTATCTTTATTCGAGCTCAGAATGTATAGGTCGTCAGCGTAAAGGCAATGATATATTTTAGGATATTTGTTTATGATGTTGCTGATTTGGTTAAATGCTATTTGAAAAAGCACTACCGACAGTGGTGACCCTTGAGGTATACCATTATTCATAGCAAACTGGTTTGAGTAATAGTTATTGATTTTGACTTTAAAAGTGCGCCCAGTCAAAAATGACTTGATGAAATTTAAAATTTTCCTTCCAACTCCCCATGATTTCAGCGAATCTAATATTATATGTATACCGATGCGATCAAATGCTTTTTCAAAGTCTATCGAAAGTACTGATGTGTGACTTCTTGCTGATATGGATTTGGATGCATAAAAGTCGATGTGTAAAAGTACGTCTGTACAACCTTGGTTTGCTTTATAAGCAACTTGATTAATAGAAATTAAATTACGAGCATTCAAAAACCATGATAAGCGGTTGGAGATTATCCTTTCCAACAGTTTAGACAGGCAGGGCAGCAAAGATATAGGCCGGTATCCAGAAAACTCCGTTTTACTTTTATTTGGTTTGGGCAAAGGAACTATGACTGCCGATTTCCATGAATGGGGGATGATTCCGGTATCAAAGACCGAGTTGTAAAAAGAAAGTAATTTATGTTTGCTCTTGTTAGATAGATTCTTCAACATGGGATAGGAAACATTATCGCGTCCTGGCGTTGTGCCTTTAACTTTACCAAAAGCTATTTGCATTTCATTAAATACAATTTCACCCTCAATTGTAGCAGCTTGCTTATTTGAGGCAGGATTAGAAAAGGATGCAAGATTATACTTAGCAGCGCAAAACTCCGGAGAAAAGTTGCTATTTGATGATTCGACCGACCATTTATTTCCAAAATGGTTGGCTATATCGATGGGATCGTTGATACATATGTCATTGGATATCATTGACGTGAAAAGGTTGAAGTTACCTTTTCTAGATATTTTGTTAATTT